AACTTACGGGCGCTCCTCGACGACACCGGGCACAGATCATCGAAATGCGCTTGGGAGCATAGCTGAAATTCATTGACATTTCAATTTCAGGCTGATATTGATCGGAGGTGATCGTTGATCTTGTTGGATCAGTCGCGAAACTCGAGAACACATTCATTATTGTCTTATTATCTTATTTTTAAGAATCATTCGGCAATATGTGATGGAGAATAGCCCGAAATCTGAGTGATCACCAGATCAACCGATAATCTAAGTGATCGCCAAATCAGTCGATAATCGAAGCGATCGCCAAAACAATCAATAGTCAAAGTTAAAATTTCATGACGACAGCGGATGATTCTCAACGCTATCGTCGTTAGCTGCGCGGAAAGAAGAATGCCAACGAAGGAAGAATGTGATATTAGTGATAACAGAGAGGCATTGACTCGCAACGAGTTGCGGTTGGATTCGCTGATTAAATAAATAAATAATTAATTAATTAATTAACGGATCTCGACTCTTCATCTGCAATCAAAACGATCAAAACAAAACGCCCAAACCAACTCACCCTCGGCAGAACAAGATGTTTGTTGCTTTCGATCAACGCTCCCATTGATTCCACCGATAGCAGTTGACCATTGGTTACGGTCAGCCTCGCCACCGGTCCTTTCTGCAACAATAAACACCCCGTTGATAAATTGTGACTGAGAAGATTTTTGAAATCCGATTATATCTTCTAAAGAATTTATCCGTTCACAGCAAACGACAACCATTCAAACGTTGCACACGAATAAATGTCGCGGACTTTTAAAATTCTGAACAAATTCCACACCATAAAACCAAAATCAACTCCAAAAAACCATCAGAACGAATAATTTTTTCACATTCCAAACAAACAAGCAATATGGGATGGAGAATAGCCCGAAATCTGAGTGATCACCAGATCAACCGATAATCTAAGTGATCGCCAAATCAGTCGATAATCGAAGCGATCGCCAGATCAATAAGTGATCGAAGCGATCGCCAAATCAGTCGATAATCGAAGCGATCGCCAAAACAATCAATAGTCAAAGTTAAAATTTCATGACGACAGCGGATGATTCTCAACGCTATCG